GGTTGGAAATTGGAGAAGCTATGAGCCTGCTACTTTCTCCTGGGCCACTTCAGAACACAGAGGGTTAATTAATCCCAGCAGGAGCAGATTGCATGATTCCAGGACTGTGTGAATGAGAACCAAGACAGGCGTCACCCACAGTCAACACCCCCGGGAGGAGGACAGGGGAGGTCGAAACAGGGCTGCAGGACCCATGATGAAACACACACCGCCCTGCACCGATGGTGGAGGGCTTGGCCTTTAGACCATTGATATGTCCTAAAATGAGGCAGCTGAAGACTCTTGAGGAACTAGACAGACTGGGTGCAAATCCCAGCTTTACTGGGCTGTATGACCTCAGACAAGTCACTGCAACGCTCTGAGCCTCAGTTTCCTCATCTGTACAACACAGGTACTGACATTGCTCAGGTCTCTGTGGGGAGTGCAGTGACGGTTAAATATGGTTATGGTTTATGGTACATTGATCCACGTGCTCTCCTTCAGGCTTACACACTTGTACTTGCACACACATGGGACCCCTACTGTGTGCCAGGAATCACGCCAAGTGCTAGGAGGCAGTGCTAGGCCAACCCCCAGGTCTCTCTCCTTGTGGACTCTACATCTTGGCAGTGACAATTGCTCAGCTGTATCCTCAGAGACTCTGATGTCATTGGTCTAGGTGGGGCCCAGGAGCCAGTATTTTTGATTTTTTAAACAGACAGGGTCTCACCATGTTACCCAGACTGGTCTTGAAATTCTAATCCCAAGCAATCCTCCTGTCTCAACCTCCCAAAGTACTGTAATTACAGACATGAACCAGCATACCTGGCCTAGATGTCAACTTTTTTTCAAGACAGGGTCTCGCTCTGTCTCTGAGGCTGGAGGGCAGGGATGTGATCGCAGCTCCCTGCAGCCTTAACCTCCTGGGCTCAGTCAATCCTCCTGCCTTAGCCTCCCAAATAGCTGGGACCACAGATGACCACCACCACTCCTGGATATTTTTTATTATTATTATTTTAAAGACAGGGTCTCCCTGTGTTGCCCAGGCTGGTCTCAAACTCCTAGTACAAACTCCTGCTTTGGCCTCCCAAAGTTCTGGGATTACAGGTGTGAACCACCCAGCACTGGCTGGGAGCCAGTATTTTGTTAAACTCCCAGGTAATCCCTATCTGCAGGGTGGAGACCCCTGTTACATGGGTTACGGTCATTCCCTCTTTATACACATAAAAACGGAGGCCCAGAGAGGTGAGGTGACTTGCCCAAGGCCACACAGCTAAGAAAGAGTGGAGATGCGACTGAAGGAAACCAGATAAGGTGACCATGGGACCAGAACCACCTTAAACATCACAAGAGAGTTAAAGACAATGTGCCCAGTGGAGATGTGCCCACAGCCCGATCCCGCTCTCACCTTCAACTTGACCCAGCCAGGGAACTCCCAGCCCTCCTGGGCTGATCAGAGCAGAGCAAGGGGCTGGGAAGGAATCCCGCTTCCAGCCAGTGGCCCTTTAGCACCCCCAGCACCCACACAGATGACCAGAATCCCCCACCTCCACCCTGAGCTGGGGTCCATGTCTTGGGGTAGTTCTCGCCTCCTGCCCCTCCCCCTTTAAAATGACAGCAGGCCTGGCTCGGGGACAGGGTCACAGGCTGGGAGCAGCTGTGCCGCTTTACAAGCCCAGAGACAGTGGGGGACTGTTCGGGCCCTGGCAGACTCCTGGGCCCCTGAGAACAGTGGAACCCTCTTCCCAAGCCTCAAGCCCAATTCTCTTCCGACCCTGCCTACCCCGCCCCCACCCGGCAACCACCGTCTCCCTCTATGGCCCAATGTTCACTGGTGCCAGCTAGATGTGTGCCCATAAAATGCCTCTTCTAGGTAACCCCATTGCAGATTGGAGGGGATTTCAGCAGGAGAGGAGCTCTACTATCCTCTCCCCAAGGGATTCACTCACTCACTCATTCATTCATTCTTCAAAGAAGCATTAGAGCCCATTGGAGAATTCAGACGCTGGGGTCAGACTGCTGGGCTGGAATCCTGGCTGTGGGACCTCAGCAGCCGACATCATCACTTCTCTTGGCCTCAGTTTCCTCATCTGTGACACAGGAATAATAACAGTTCCCACCCCAGAGGGCTGCAAATCTCAACGAGTTAATGATGCTGAGTTAATGAGTGCTGAGAGCAGGGCCTGGCACACAACAAGGGCTATTAATTGGAAGCTATTATTATCATTGAGCTAAGGGACTGTGGAAGAGGGGTGGGGTGGAAGCTATCAGGGATGGCTCCCAGGAGGAAAGGACATCTAGACCAGAAGCTAACGGATAAGGGAGAATTAGCAAAGCAGAAGGGGTTGGGAGGGGTGGAAAGGTGTCATAGGCAGAAGGAACAGCAGCTGTAAAAGCTCAGAGGTGAGGAAGAGGTGAACTGCATTGGTGCTCAGGCCGCCTCCTTCACCCACCTCCCACCAGTTTTGGGGGCCACAGGCTATGGCTGAGGTCATGAACTCCATGTCCTCTGGAGAGCCCCGCTGATCGTTAGTGGAGGGCTGCCATCAGGAGCTGCTGATCAGGGAGCTTGTCCCTGCCTGCTCCCCAAGGGTCTCTAATGACTGCTTCTGTTTTACTAGATTTTTGTGTATTCAAGGGAAGCTTCACGCACTTCCCAGTCACGTCCCAACACCTAAGACCCCTCATGAGCTTGGCAACAAGAAGAAAGCATAGCCCCTGAACCCATAGAGGTTGAACAATTTGATCAGAGCCTTGCAGAACACAGGTATTCCTCTTCCACACTCCTGCTGTTTGCGGCAAGCCTGGCTGGGCTGAGAAAGGGAGGGTCCTTCCCCACTGAGTGAGACAGAGGCCATTGTGTGTTATGAAACCCAAACCCCAGGGGCCCCCTCTGGGTGGAGGTGGGGTCCGTGGAGGGGAGGGGCTGCAGGGGATGGCCTACTGCCCCCCAACCCCAGGGACCCAGCACATGCTCCCAGCCCCAGCCACATCTGGATTCCAGCTGGCAGCTCCTGAGGCCCAGGGTGCGGGGGAGAAGTCGCTGCAGGAACTTGCCATCAAAGACCAAGAGGAGGTTGGTGGGCCGCAGACAAAAAGCAGAGGCCGACTGCAGGGCCAGAGCGCGGCCTCCTACCCACAGTCCTGGCCAAGGCTGCGGTGAGAGGGGCACTGTCCGAGACCCACCCCAGTCCTTAGCCACCTGCAGGGAAAACAGAGGTGAGTGACTCTCCCACAGCCACAGTCAGTGGCGGAGCCGGGTGTGGAACCTGGGTCTGTGTGGCCACAAGTCCAGAGCTGGTCCTCCACCCCTGGGGACACGAGTTCCAGCCCATTCCTCAGAGCTCCAGTCTTTCCTTTCTTTCCCTCATCAATCTGTCCCTTCAGCCTCCACAGCTGGGCTGACGTGTTTCCCCCGAAAGTTACCCCCATCCCATGCAAGAGCCCCTCCCCAGCAGGCTCATTCCCCGTTCCCCCTAGAAAACTGGTGAGACTTCAGGCCAGAATAAAGGTTTATTGTGCTGATGCGTTATATCTTAGCACCTGGAGAGCTGTGCGGAGGTTGGGGGAGCCCCAGATGGAGGGATGGAGGAGAGGACCCCTGCCAGAGCCTCCATAAAGCAGGATGGAACCCAGGCTCCCTGTCGAGGACTGAAGAATATTGTGGACACAGGCTGCCAGGCAATGTGTGAGCGACGGGGGGTGGCCAGGGCCCCCCTGCTCCAGGCTGGGCGTCAGAAACCCTCCCTGAGTCCCTCAGACTTCCCCAGGGTGGAGGTTCCCTCAAACAGCCGCTGGCTTCTAGGCTGCTTCGGAGGCCAGATGGGAAGAGTTCCATTCATTCGCCCCCATGAGAAATTCACCCCCAGGCAGGAGTTGCTTGGGGAGCGCTTGAGAGGGTTTAAGTGTCCTACCCTCCACATCCCTAATCCTGGACCAACCAGAAACGGGGGCACCTTCAGGAAAGTTAACAGCAGTATTTTCCAGAGTGGGTGCTGCAGGACTTTACCCTGTAGCTGTTTCAAAAAGTAGTTTGGTGTAATCCCAGCACTTTGGGAGGCCGAGGCGGGTGGATCACGAGGTCAAGAGATGGAGACCATCCTGGTCAACATGGTGAAACCCCGTCTCTACTAAAAATACAAAAAATTAGCTGGGCATGGTGGTGCGTGCCTGTAATCCCAGCTACTCGGGAGGCTGAGGCAGGAGAATTGCCTGAACCCAGGAGGCGGAGGTTGCGGTGAGCCGAGATCGTGCCATTGCACTCCAGCCTGAGTAACGAGAGCGAAACTCCATCTCAAAAAAAAAAAAAAAAAAGTAGTTTGGGCTGGGAGCAGTGGCTCACACCTGTAATCCCAGCACTTTGGAAGGCCAAGGCAGGTGGATCACCTGAAGCTCAGGAGTTCCAGACCAGCCTGGCCAACATGGTGAAGCCCAATCTCTACTAAAAATAGAAAAATTAGCCAGGCGTGGTGGTGGGCACCTGTAATTCCAGCTACTCGGAGGCTGAGGCAGGAGACTCGCTTGAACCTGGGAGGTGGAGGTTGCAGTGAGCTGAGGTTGCGGTGAGCCAAGATGGCGCTACTGGACTCCAGCCAGGGCAACAGAGTAAGACTCCATCTCAAAGAAAAAAATAAATCTTGATTCCATAGAGCGCCTCAGGGAACCTAGTCTGGGAAATGCTTATTTAGGGACCTGTCATCATGTGTGTGTACAGGGGACTCTTCACAGAAATGTCCTGATTAACCACACACCCACTTCTGCTGCTGGAGCTCTAAGCACAGGCAGAACAACACTAAAATATTCAGCTTTGAAAGGACACGAGAAGGGGACCATTTTCAGTTCCAAACTGTTGCCTCTCGCCAGGCCGCATGTTGTCTTACAAAGACTGGGCACCTCGGCGTCTCTCATCCAGCCTCTTCCAAAACTCCCACTTACTCTTTGCTCCCTTGATGGAAAAGCAGTGATATTTGCCCCATGGATGGCCTGCGACCTATGATTTCCAAATGATGTGGCTGATTTAGTGGACTGTTTTTGTTTTGTAGCGATGGGTGTCTCACAACGTTGCTGGGGCTGGTTTTGAAATCCTCGTCTCAAGCGATGTCCGGACTTGGCCTCCCAAAACGCTGGGATTACAGGCATGAGCCTCCGCACTCAGCCTCGCAGGATGTTTAATCTTGGCTGTCACAGGGACCTGTGGCCTCCCTCGCCTTGTCAGGCAAGCTGTGCTTTAGAATATAGCCCTTTGGGGCTGCAGAGGTGAAGGATGTCGGCACTTGGTGAGATTCCTCCTGGGGACTGGGGACCAGCATCTCTGCCTGGTGTAGAATCAGGACATGCTGGGATTGGCACCACAGGGTGGCCAAGGAGGGAGTGTCAGGAAGCCCTCAGGACTGAAGGCCTTTTCATGCCCAGGGAGGTGACCACTTGGGGCCCCGACAGTCAGGGCTGGCAGCCTGGGAGGCCTGTTAGACACTGGGGTGGACGCTGCTGCAAGCGCAGGAGGCTTCGGGGTGACCCTCTGGTCCCTGGGCTTCCTGGGCTAGCAAGAGGGGCCCTTCCAGCTCCCCTTGGCCCTCACCGGCCACCAGAGCCCCCTCAGGCCCCCCTGAGCATGGTTCCTCCTGAACCGCTGGTGTCTTCACTGGGACCCCATGTCCCCGGACTTCCTGGTCCCCATCCTGGCTGCCCTTCTCCTCTTCCTCCGTTCCCCTGCCCTCCACCATCCTGGCTCCATCCCCACCGCCTGGTGCAGGCCTGGTGGGGGACTTGAGGTTCTGGGTGGCAGCCAGAATGTCGGCCTGGAGCTGCTGGGAGGAATCCAGGGCTTCCTCGGGCCGGCTGTCAGGGGCCCTGTCGGGGACCTCACTGAAGGCCCGGGAGCCCCCAGCTCGGTCACTCTGGTCCACGTACTTCTTCTTGGGGAAGGACGACGGGTAATAGGCCGAGGCCTTGTGCTTCTGCCGGGTGATGACTGCGGCGCAGACGATGAACATCAGCAGGAAGGCCAGGGAGCCCACCACAGCGATCAGCATCACATACTGGCGGAAGAAGTCCACGATCCCATCCAGGAAGTTGGTGGGGTGTGAGGGCCCCCCCAGGGATGTGGGCTGGGGTCCCGTCGATGTGGGGCTGAGGGCCGGGGTCCAGGCTGGTGGGAGGCTCGGGGAGGAGGTCAGTGAGCCCTCGGCCTCCCCACTACCTGCCACGTCCTCCGGGAACGAGGCCTTCAGGGCCACAGAGCGGGCGTTGGTGGCGGGCACAGACCCCAGGAGCAGCAACAGAGGGATGAGGAGGCCGGAGGCTGCTGCTGAAACCATGGTGCCCCCAGGACCTGTGAGACACGAGGGAGGAGAGAAGTCATGGTGGAATTCCAGGGTGTCAGATTCAGAAACAGGCTCACCAGCCCCCAGGAGGAACGGGGAGCATGAAACATCTTCCAGCAAGTCCCTTCCATTCACAGGGCCCCACTCGTTCAGATGTGGGGTACAGATGTGCTCCCCCACTTCCCTGGAGGCCCAGGATGAGTGAGATTCAGCCTCCTCAGGGTTTGGCCCCATATATGGTATACAGTAAGTGCTCAGTAAATGTACTTTGACTGACCTGGCTGAATTAATAATAATGATAACTTACACTTTCATGGCTTCATGTGTCAGCCACTGTTTTAAGTTTCTTACACGGAATTTCTCATTGAATCCTGATCACTGCCCAGTGTGGAAGGTTCTATGATTAAGCCCATTTTGCAGATGAAAAAACTGAGGCTGAGAGGGACATGGTGACTTGCCAGGGAAGAGCTAGGGTTTGGATCCAAGCAGGAAGGGAGAAAGGATGGCAGGGTTGAGTAAGTGAGAAACCAAGTGAGTGACTGAGGGAGCCGAGTGACACCCCACCCCCTACCCACCACCCTGGGACCCTTCCCTCCAGCTCCCAGCCCCTCTCTGGTCCCGTTCCCCTTAGGCTCTTGTCCCCATGCTTTGGGTGGCCAAAGTGGCTCCACATGGCCACATCCTGGTGGCTCTGGGGCTTTCTCAAATCTTCCCCTGGCCAGCTCTACCTTCTTCTGCAAGAGATTCCTAGGGGGCCAGGCGGAGTGGCTCATGCCTGTAATCCCAGCACTTTGGGAGGCTAAGATGGGCAAATCATTTGAGGTCAGGAGTTCAAGACCAGCCTGACCAACATGGTGAAACCCCATCTCTACTAAAAATACAACAATTAGCTGGGTGTGGTGGCATGAGCCTGTAATCCTACCTACTTGGGAGGCCCAGGCAGAAAAAATCACTTGAACCTGGGAGGTGGAGGTTGCAATGAGCCGAGATGATGCCACTGCACGCTCCAGCCTGGGCGACAGAGTAAGAACCTATCTCAAGAAAAGAAAAGAAAAAAAAAAAAAAAGGAACATTCCTAGGATTTGAAGCCTCTAGGTCTCTGAGCTAGGCAGGGGCCTGGATGCCAGAGGCATGCATGGGCCGCCCTTCCCCCCACCCTGTCCGTGGCTGCCCTCACCCCCAGGCTCCAAGCAGGAGCCAGGATGGGCCCTGGGGTGGGGAAATCCTGGTGCCTGAGACTAAGCTGAGCTGCCGACGCTCCCCACCCCCACTCGATGGGAACCAGATGAGCCCAGGGCCTCCCTGCCCTGCTGGAAGGGCTGCTTCTGGGTGAACCCCAAGACCCCACCTGGCCCAGACAGCACCACTGATGAATTAATTCCTCATGGCCAGAGTTTGACGGAGGAGCTGAGTTTCAAAACACTAACTCTCCCAGCCGGCATGAGCTGGGGGCTCCCAGCTGCTCAGACAAACCCAGGGACAATTCACTGTGCTGTCCTCTGACAACCCCTGCCACGCCCAGCGGGGGCCCAGTTCCCCACAGCTGGCTTGAGTTTAGAGGCTCCAACACAGAAAAGTCTTAGGATCCCCTGTCCTGAGGCCTGAGGGGACTGAGGTGGAGAGACAAGAGGCCCAGAGAAGGCAGAGGGCAGGCCTGGGCCCACACACAAGTTCCTGGGCTGGAGAAAGAAGTCAGGCTCCCAAGGCCTGGCTGTGGTCGCACCGCCAGCGTCTGGGCCTCCGGGCCTGCTTGGCGAAGCAGAGTACACTACCTTCCCCACAGGTACCAGGAGGCTTCCGGAGAAGAGGTAGAACCCAGGCTGGGCCATTTAGGGGCTTGTTCCAGGTGACCTGAGGCTTCTCCGTGACACGGCTTTCATTGAAATTAATTGCATCAGCCAGGTGTAGGGGCGCATGCCTGTAATCCCAGCACTTTGAGAGGCCAAGGTGAAAAGACCACTTGAGCTCAGGAGTTCAAGATCAGCCTGATCAACACGGCAAAATCCTGTCTCTACTAAAAACACAAAAAATTAGCCAGGCATAGTGATCCCAGGTACCGAGCAGGCTGAGGTGGGAGAATTGCCTGAGCCCGGGACGTTGAGGCTGCAGTGAGCAGAGATGGTGCTGCATTCCAGCCTGGGTAACAAAGCAAGACCCTGACTCAAAAGAAAAGAAAAAAGAAAAGAAAGAAATTAATTGTGCTGACATAAATGTGAACAAACTGGCTTAGATGGCAAAAAATAAAAAAAAATAATTCCAGGACATGAAAAGAGGCAAAACAGACCAGGTGTGGGGGCTCACACTTGTAATCCCAGCACTTTGGAAGGCCGAGGCTGTAGGATTGATTAAGGGCAGGAATTTGGGCAACATAGTGAGACCCCATCTCTACAAAAATAAAAAATAAAAAATTAGCCAAGTCTGGTGGTGTGTGCCTGTTGTCCCAGCTACTTGGGAGGATCACTTGAGCCCAGGAGTTCAGGACCAGCCTGGGCAACATAAGGAAACCTCCAACTCTATGAAATATATTAAATTATTTCAATTTTTTAAAAAAGAGACAAAGCTTCTCGGGCTCATTTTAAATGAGCTGGTCGCCATGCCTTCCTCGGGGGTACTCGTCTGAGCTCTCTTCATGCCTTTAATCCTGCAAGAGCCATTTTCTCCATTTTACAGGTGAGGAAACGGAGGTTCGGAGACAGTGACTTGACCAAGGACACACAGATGGTGAGTAGCTGAGCTGGGATTCGAACCTTCCTCTGTCTGATCCCAAGAGTTTACACGCATCACACTCACACTCATACACAGCCATAGACACACAGGCACACACACCACACACAGAAAACCATGCACACATGCCACACTCACACACATCCATACACAACTATGCACACACATCCCCCCACATACACACCCATCATACACACACAATGATACACAGGCTCACACAACCATTCACACAACCATGCACACATGCCACACATCCATATATACACACATGCACATGCTACGCAATCATACACACACGTACACACAACCATGCATGCATACCACACACTCATATACACATATGCACATGCTCCACACAGTCATACACACACATGCACACATAACCATGCACACATGTCATGCACATACACATACTACACAGTCATATACACACATGCACACACAACCACACACTACTATGCACACACACCACACACACACCTATATACACACATGCACATGCTATACACACAATCATACACACATGCACACAAAACCATGCTGCACACCCATATACACGGATGCACATGCTACACACACAATCATACACACATGCACACACAACTGCACACACAACCATGCATCCATGCCACACACCCATATACACACATGCACACGCTACACACACAATCATACACACACGCATACACAACTGCACACACAACCATGCACACATGCCACACACCCATATACACACATGCACACGCTACACACACAATCATACACACACGCATACACAACTGCACACACAACCATGCACACATGCCACACACCCATATACACACATGCACACGCTACACACACAATCATACACACACGCATACACAACTGCACACACAACCATGCACACATGCCACACACCCATATACACACATGCACACACTACACACACAATCATACACACACGCATACACAACTGCACACACAACCATGCACACATGCCACACACCCATATACACACATGCACACACTACACACACATACACATGCACACACACAACCATGCGCACACACCCCCATATTATATGCACAGACTACATACACATGCACACACACATGCATACACTCCACATACAACCACACACTCTCACACAACCATACACATATACCACACACACTCACCTACACAACCACACACACATGCACACACCACACACTCTAAGCCAAGAATGGCTTGTTCCCACTGGCGGACATCACCTGTCAGATGCTAAATGAGGCTCAGGACCCCCTCCCCTCTCTGGCGCCTGTTAGCAAATGTTCCTACAGACACCCTTGAGCTTTGGGGCTGTGTCCTGCCTGTCACCTCCCAGCCTCCTGCCCCCAGTCAAGCCCAGGAGAGAGCTTTCATGGCAACAATGGCCACTTCTCACTGCAGAGGGCATCTGGGACCGTGGGTGGCTGGAGGCTCGCTCAAGTTCTGGCTGGGTCAAGAATCCCAGCTCCACTGCGTCCAGCTCTGCATCTGGCTCCTGTGGGCCTCACTTTCCCCATCCATAAGTTGGGACAGGGTGACCACCGGTGGCACTTCCCAGAGCTGTTAGGACCACATGAGACAACTTTCAGAGACTGCTTGGTGCAGAGTGGCTGAGCCCTGAGGAATGGTGAGGTCTGGGGTAGCTAAATTCCTGCCCTAGCCGAGGTCCGGGTTCAGCCAGCAATTTCCCACCCTGAGCAGATGAATGAGCACCCTTGCCGGATGGGAACATGTGCTCACCGTCTGTTCCAGCCGCCGCCCAGGGAAAGACCAACCTTTTCACCCCGTTCAGCGAAATTTCCTCAGCTCTGGTCACTGAGGAATGCAGAACCAAACACAGGTACACACACACACACACGCACACACACACACATATACACGCAATACACACACACACGAAGTCAGAGGGCAAGAAAGGAGAACACACAAACTACCGCTGGCTCTTCAAGGCTGAAACCCTGACTCTCAGAGTCCCCTGCACCCCACAACCCCTCCTGGCTCCTAGGGAAAGGTGGGGGCAACATGTGGAGGACCCGACCCCACCTGCAGCCAGCAGAGCTCGCAGGAGATGGCTGTGTGGCCCTGGGCGGCCCCTGCCCTCTCTGGGCCTCCATTTCCCATCTGTGGATGAAGCACTGGCCTGGCCGGCTCTGGAGGCATCATTCTGTCTGCCCGGTGCCCCCCACCTCCTCCTGGACCCTAATTTTTTCAAGCACTCAGAATATCACAGGCCATTAGGTGCTGGGGTGAGGCCCAACACTTCCTGCTTCATCCTAGAGGCAACTCAGGTCCAGAGACTGGGAACCGCCTGCCCAGGTCACACAGCAAGTCAGGGCCAAGCCTGGCAGAGCCCTGAACAGAGAGGCCTTTCTTGGTATATCCCAGAGGAGGTCACTTCCCAGCTACATGTCCTTGTGCTGGGCATGTCACCTCTCTGAGCCTCAGTTTCCATACCTGTACAATGAGGATAAGAGCCACCTCCCTGGACTGTTGTTAGGACAAGATGCTGCCGTGCTTGGCACAAAATGAGTGCCAATTAGCAGGGACCATGTGATTGCCCAGGACTCCCCACCAGGGACACCTCAGGCAGGGCTGGCCGTGTAAGTGTGACAAACTCCCTAAGACGGTCCTGAGTATGTGGAAGAGTACATCCACCCCTTGAGGCTTGGGGACCCCAAGACTTGGGGCTAGGGGGCCGAGGTCTGCCCCACTCCCACCCAGAGACTGGTGGCCTTAGGGGGAGGGGCAGCCCTCGGAAACCTGGCTTCAATTAGTGGCCTTGTGTGGGGGAGGGGGTTCTGGTTGGAGCGCTGCACATGCCTCCCACCCCAGGGCCAGCCGAGGACAGGAATCTGGGCCCCTGGAGGTCTGGATGGGGAAAGAGGTCCTGGGGGCACAGCCCCCTCCACACACACACACACACACACACACACACAGCTGCATGGACACACAATATAAAGACACACAACACAGGCACACCGAATCACGCAGCACTGAGACACCCGGCAGCACTCTCACAGCCCATACACACCTTACACAGAGATCACGGACACACACATACACAACCTCCAACACACAGCCGATCCCACACGCAGGACAGTACGGTCCACACCACCCTCAGATGGATCCTGGAAGCAACAGCCGGGCGTCCACTTGCAGAGAAGTGGAAGCAACACACCCCCTACACCAAGGCCCCAGCCACACAAGCACAACACTCTGGCCCACCCCGGCCCACCCCAGCACTGCACATGGGTCTCAGATTCCATCTCACTCATGCACATAACACCAAATACACACTCAAAGCACACACACACTTAGAGAGGCCCCCCAGAGTGTTCAGAGAGTCCCCAGTCCCTAAGCTCCAAGATAGTCCCAGGCTCTCAGGACAGAGGAAGGGACCCCAGGACTCACCAGTTCCTTGGCTCACAGGACTGGGTGCTCCTGCAGAATGGAGCGAGAGTGGGGGGCGCCTGGGCTGGGAGACAGTCTGTGCTGGTGCCCGGGGCTGCTCTGGGCTGGCGCCCGCCTGCCCTCCCTCCTCCTGTCCCTCCTCCCGTCCCTCCTCCTTCCTCCCTCCCCGGCTGGGCCTCGGGGCCAGCTTGATTTCATTAAGAGGGTTTGGGGTGGGGACAGGGGGAGGGGAGGGGCTGCTCTCGGGCCACACGCAATCCCACTCTTGCTCACACTCCTGCTCTGGGGAAGACCAGATGCAGTGCTTCCTCCCTGACCTCAAGTCCCCAGAGCAGGCTGAGACAGACAGACAGACAGGGCTGTTCTGCAGCACTCGCCCCCACATTGAGCTGAGGTTCTGCCCACTCCGCTCCCCAGTACCCGCAAAAGGGGACAAGGTCAGGGAGGTTCAGAGGCCTCTGAAGTGGGAAGGAAAACTCCCCATCCCTGTGTGGCTCGAGCTTCCAGGCTCAGGGTGCAGCGTGGGAGCTGGGATTCGTTTTAGAGAGAGGCCTGATGGTGGGTCCCAGCCTGAGACAGGGACCCCCACTCTGCCCTTCCCCTCTCCAGCCCTCAGTTTCCCATTTATAAGGATGAGCGGGAAGCTTTCTGGGCTACCTCTGACTCTGATATTCTGGGATCTGTGGCCTCACGATGCTCCCAAATGATAGCAGCTCGAATAGGAGTTGGAGCCCCATTTCACAGAGGGGGAAAGTGAGGCAGGTGAGTTCTAATGGTTCAAGCAGGCTCCTGGGGTGAATCAGGCACAGCCCAGCCTTAGGGACCTCACAGACTCCCAGGGAGAAGGACACCTAAGTAAGTTACTTTTTACAAAACAGAAAGGGGTCAGGTCACGGGCTCAGAGAACCCCAAGACAGAGAGGCTGAGGGAAAAGGGGCAGGAAGCCATCCTGGAGAGCACACCTGTGAAGAAGCGGAAGCTGGGCAAAGCAGGCCCCGGAACGGCATTGCACATGGGCAGACCAGCGTGGTAAAGGTACAGTGGCTGGGAATGGCACCACGCACAAGTCGCCACGATTGTATTAGGCTGGAGCGTGGGCCAAAGAGAGGATCACGTAGTAAGGATCAGAGCCAGGCAGGAGCCAGGCTAAAGCCTCGGAAAGTCATCCAGGAGGCAGTAGGGAGCCAGCGAGGGCTTGGAACAGCGGAGTGCATGAGAATGAATGCGTGCACTCCCAGTAGGAACCAAGACTAGATTATCATTGTCCCCTGAAATGGTCCCAGCAGTCCTCACTCACCCCCAAAAAACCGGGGCGGTCCTTTGCTTGGGAAATAAAGTCAGAGACTTTCCCATCTTCTGTGGAAATCATCCCAAACCCCGCATCTTAGAGGGAACAGGGGACCATCCACCAATAAATGCTCACACATTCATGCACACACATGTCCCGGGGCAAGTGGCCGCCCACAAACATGTTGTAGTAGCTGCGCCCACTTTAAGATGGCCATAGGGTGGGTTCCCTGTCTCAGGCTGGGACCCACCATCAGGCTTCTCTCTAAAACAAATCCCGGGTCCCACACTGCACCCTGCCCTGTCTTAGACCAGACGTGGGGCGGGCAGGAGCGGCCAAACCTCCCCCAGGGCCACCAGCAGGGGAAGAAGCCCTTCCCCAACATTCTAAGGGCTGCAGGCTGGGGACCCTGGGAAGTCGAGGAGCAGAGACCCAGTCAACCCAAATAGAGACTGCTCCCTGCACAGGTGGCCCCGGAGGCCCGACCTGAGGGAACCCCTCGGAGTCCCCTTCCCCTTGTTCTGTGTCTCTCCTTCCTGGGCAGAGCACCCCCCTCAAGGAGGGGTAGTGAGAGTTGGAGACATTGGCAGGACCTGGACTAAAGTCTCGGAAGATCACCCGGGAGGCAGCAGGGAGCCAGTGAGGGTTTGGAGGGTTTGCTCTGGGATCTGTGGCCTCACGAGGCCCCCAATGATAGTAGCTTGAATAGCAATTGGAGCCCCATTTCACAGAGGGGGAAGGTGAGGCAGGTGAGTTCTAACGGCTCAGGCAGGGTCCTGAGGTGAGTTAGTGGCAGGCCCTGGAACCAGGACATCTGGCTGACCTGAGGAGTCCCGTGGATGAGTGGCCCCTTGCGTTCATTCATTCATTCATTCAGCAAGAGGCAGAGAGACCCAGTTCAAATCTTGCCTCTACCGTGTCCTGCCCCACCTGGAGCCTCTGTTTCCTCCTCTGTAAAATGGAGATGGAGACTCCTTACTACTCAGAAGCTGGCAGGGGAAGCCAGAGGAGCTAGGGAGCAGACACGTGCTCAGCGATGTCAAAAGCACAGGCCAAGGCCAAGGGTATGAGTTTCCTACTGCTGCTGTAACAAATGACCACAGATTCAAGGCCAGAAGCCACTCACAGTCATGGTCTTGCAATTCTTGCAGTCAGGAGTCCCAAACAGACCACACGAAGCTAAAAATCAGTGTCAGCAGGGCTTGCGTTCACTCTAGAGTCTTTGCGGGAGAATCTGCTGGCAAGATTCTAGAAGCTGCTGGCCCTCCTTGGCTCTTAGGCTTCTTCCTCCACCCTCCTGGCCAGTGGTAGTGGGCAGGGTCCTTTTCATACCGTCATCTCTCTTCCGGTTCCCTCTCCCATGTTGAAGGCCCCTAGTGACGACATTGGGCCCACTCTGATAATCCAGGATAATCTCCCTAAGATCCTTAAATTAACCACATTGGCAAATCCCTTTTGCCAGATAAGGTATGACACACTCAGCTGGGTGCAGTAGCTCACACCTGTAACCCTAGCTACTCAGGAGGCCAAGTGGGAGGATCACTTGAGGCTAGGAGTTCAAGACCAGCCTGGGCAATCTAGTGAGACCCTCTCTCTAAACATTTTTTTGTAATTAGCTGGGTATCACACACCCCTATGGTCCCAGCTACTCAGGAGGCTAAGGTGAGAGTATTGCTTGAGCCCAAGAATTCAAGGCTGCAGTGAGCTATGATTATGCCACTGCACTCCAGACTGGGTGTGCACAGAACACGACTGCAAATCTTTAAAAAAAAAAAAAGTTAAAAAAAAAAGGTAACATATAGAGATGTCTTTGTGGGAAGGGGTATTATTCTGCCTGCCACCCCAGCTTGAATATTACTATTACTGGCTCCCTACGGGACTGGAATCATCCACCCTCAAAGCACTGGGTTTTCCTCCCCCTATAGATCCCAGCACCATGCCTCAAACACAGCAGGCCCTTTATGTGCTTGTGGGGAACTGAATAAATGCAGGAAGGCTGTTTGGTGGGCACAGAAACCGAGGTTCATGGTGGGGTGGTGCCGCCTCCCCACAATCCATGAGCACGGTGGGAGGTCAGAGCCTTTTCTTTTGCACCAGCCCCTGTGTCAGAGCCTCTGGAAATGGGACCAGCCCCCTCCCAAGAGGCCTGATCCCCAGAATGGGGCTCCTACCTCCCTCTGTCCTGTTGAAGGGCTTTCAGACTATGTTAACACACCACACATCACACCACACACACACACACACACACAGATACACAGGCTGTCCTTAAACTGAGCATCCCAACCCACAATCTAAGGACAGGACAGCGACAATGTCAGTCACTGATTGGAGGGAAAAAAGGAGCCCTGAGTCCCAGCCCCAGCTCAGGCAAAAACTGTGGGCAGCGGAGCAATCACTGCCTTTCTCTGGGCTGCAGCTAAATGTGGGGTTGGACTAGACGCTTGGCACAAGCCTGCCAGCGTGAAGACTCCAGTGCTCTAGAACTCTAAATTTCATTTATTCTACAAATATTTCTTTTTTATGTCAATTTATTTTTAAATTTTATTTTGTTTTTTATTTTTTGAGACAAAGTCTCACTCTGCTGTCCAGGCGGCAGTGCAGTGGCACAATCACAGCTCATGGAGCCCTTGACTTCCCGGGTTCAGATGATCCTCCCACCTCAGCCCCCCAAATAGCTGAGATTACAGGCATGAGCCACCGCACCCGGCCAATGTATTTTTAAATTTCTAAAAAAAAAAATTTATGGACAATAATAGTTGTACCTGTGTATACATATATTCCTTTTGACCTTAATTGCACATAGGTCAAGGTCAGGCCCTGGAGACAGTGACGGGCTAACAGGGGCACAGAGTTTGCAGAGTCGTAGGGAGACTTGCAATGAGCAAGTAAACAAACAAATGAATGTCTAACTGCAAAGTGGGCTAAGAGTTGGGAGCGGTAGTTCAGGGGCCAAAAGAGCACCTGGCTGGGAGGCTAGTCTGGCCCTGAGCTTCATAGGGGCCTCCGTGAGGAGGTGACAGTGGAGCTGCTCTTGAAGATGAGGAGGAGGCATTTAGAAAGTCAAGGACACAAGAGCGTGCTCAGCCACCAGCAGCACATGCAAAGGCCCTGAGGTGGGCAGCTGCGCAGCACCTTCCAGGCAGCCCCTGAAGATAATTGCCATTGCAGGAGTCCAGGAGCCAGGTCTGCAGGCACCAGGAGCTCTGCCTGTTTTGTGAACCGCTGTAACTTCGGCATCCAGGACAGTGCCTGGAACACCGTTGGTGCCCATAAATGCTGGTAGACTGTGTGAATGACCGCTGTGATCTCCACGGCTGCATTTGCAGGTTTTCACCAGATAGCACTCTGAGGGTTCGCTGCAGCGGCTCCTCGTTCATTCTAAGGGCCTCACATTCCACGTTCTCCAGTTTGGGGGCCTGCTGTGGCCTGGCCGGATGCTCCCTGTGGCCTGCCCTACCGTGGCTCCCAGGGGCACAGGCAGGCTTCGCGGCTCACTTGTAGCCTGTAATTTCAGAGGCATAGAGTGGCACCTGGGCCCTCTGCCCAGCCTAGAAGCGGTTCAGAGACCTCACCCTGCACCCACTGTGCAATTAGCTGCCAGGGTCCACGCCCTGCTGGGCAGCCACGGCTAGGGAGGTAAGGAGGGTGAAGGAAAAATCACCCCACCTCGGCCTCTGCCAGGGTCCTCCCATCTGTGCCTAGGGCGGCCACCCTGCCCACCACAGCCCCCAGCTCCAGCCCCTTGTGGGTGCAGGGCCTTTTCTAATTACACAGCCCTGGTGGCCAGTGGAGCCTGTCCTCTGGGCAAAAATAGGCCCAGCCTTTCTTGTGGCAAGAGAGGCCTGGGCTGTGGCCCCAT